ATTTAAAGGGTATGTGGGAGTGATAAAAAGCTTTAAACCAACTTTCTGTAACTGCACTGAACAACTGCTGGCCATTAAAAGCCCTGATCTCCTAACTACTCATGTTCAAACATGCAAAATGTAAATCCAGCCTTTGCGAGACCAACTAAAATAGAGTCCCCTCAGGGCTCTGCAAATACCATGGCGAAGCCACTGTGGCGCGGGGCCGGCCCTTCCCAGCCTGGGCTCAAGACATCTGCTAGGGCTTCCAGGCACACACACCACCAGCCGAAGTGCCGGAAACACTCAATGTATTCACTACTGTTTCTCAGAGTTTAAATCGCAGCCATGCTGTGCGAAGTTCCACGTGCACTGCCCTGCCTGCTTGTGCTTGGTTTCACGGTGGTTCCCTGGGAAGGCAACGAACCGCAGCCTCGTAAATTTTTAATGGGATAACCAGCAAGTGAAGGGCATCACTCTGCTGAGCTAAATGAAACAAAGCAAGCGACTGCATCCAAGTCGCATAAACTAGATAATTTAAGGCACATTTCATAGCCTGCCCTTAAAAAAAAAAGAAAAAGAAAACAACAAACTGCTTTTCTGTACTAAAAAAAAAAAAAAGAAAACAAAAAAAAGAATCTCGTCTGCTACAAAGAACTGGCAAATCAAGCTGAGGCTGAGCATAAGAACTGGCATCTTGCCTAGGCTTCCTTGTAAATGCCTTCAAATGGCAGTCATACCCCAAACTACGCTTTGCAGACAAAGTATATATAACCAAGCATCATCACTCTCCTCAAAGCCAAATAAAGGACTGAGCAGTTATAAAAGGGGGAGGTGAAGGAGACAGGCAGTCCATTTCTCTTAACAACCAACACCTTTTATAAGTTTTTCATTTAAACATATAAGATACCATCCAGCTTGGTGACATGGGTTTCTAGGCTGGTCTACAGTAGGGGTTTCAGAAGAATTTAAGAGCAGGACCACTGAGGTCTAGCACAGTCTGTCTATGCCTGCAAACACAGCTAATGCATTTTTAATGAAAGCAAGCAGCAATTCATTTTTCTTCTTGAAAGGCAGGCTAGCAGACAGCTACCTTCCAGCACTGAATGACAGCTCCTCTTCCCAGGGAATGAGAGATGAAGTAATAATTGGTCTTTCCTGCCTACCAGATAGTCCCAAATTCACAGCTTAGACCACCAGCATTATCAGCCAATCACATCTCCTGGGCACTGTCCCTGCTAAGATGCAGCAGGTAGTCACCCACACTGGAAAAGGCAGACCGGACTGCTCCTAGCTTCTAGGCTGTTGATAAAAGCAGACTTGTTCTCAGCAGAGGCAGAGCCACACCACTGCCATGAAACATCCACCATCGGTGCTGAGGATGCTGCCTCTTTGTCTGAGAAACAAAACACTGGGATCATGATAGCTGAAACTGAGCAGATATGGGCAGAAAGTAAAAGTATTCAGGGGAAAAAAAAGAGAGGTGGCTCTAGCAGGGCCAGCTGGTAGTAAAGGAACAGGGAGGCACATGTAAAAGTGAATTAAAAAAGATGCAGAAACAACAGAAAGCACACCAAAATTAGAGCTGCAGAGAAAGAAGTAAGAATCTGTTCTAAAAAAGATACACCATCAGGAGTCTAAATAGCAAAGCTGTGCTAAAACATATGCACACAAAGTGTTGGGGAGGTGCCAGAACTATCCCAATGCTCCCAGCAGAAGCAAACAGCACAGACTGCAAAAATAACGTGACACTCCAGCTTCAAAAAAGCAGACAACTAACTACATGCTGTAATGCCTCAGCTTCCATCTTCTATGTAAAAGCTGGCACTGCCGCCCCAAAGTCTCTTATTCCTGGAATATATAGATATATTCCCGGAATAATTCCTCCCAGGGGGTAGGGCAGTGGTGGGGGAAAAAAAGGCTGGCTGGGTCTAGTCTAAATTTGAAACAGTTCAACCTGAGGATCTGGAAAACAGGGCAAGCAAACGGGTACCTTTCAGAAAAGTGGAAGAAAGGACACAACAGTGCTCCCCCCTTTTCTCACCCACTAACCTAATTACCCAGACACCACCCTGCCAACAAGTTCAACTCCCCCTTCTCCTGATTTACAGCTGCAACCTCACATCTCAAAGCTTCTTGGGGGAGGACTCTTATTTAAGGGGTCTTAATACCCTCTCAATACAAAGAGAAACGGCTTTTATAACTCCAGATGTTCCTTGCACAAGGACTGGTAATTACCCCAACTCCCCTCTCCCCAGGGAGCACCCTAACTTCTGGGCACAAATCTCCTTTCCAAACACTCCCAGGACCTGAGCCTTTAACTCAGTAGTAATGATCTGCATTGTGTTTTTCTATATCAGGCTCTTTGGTACAATCTAGTCTGAAAGCTAAAGGTTTTTACACATGTTCTGAACCGCAAATTGTAAGAAGATTCAAAGAAACCCACATTCACACATTGGCAACAGACCTGCAGTTCTTACTGACCTTTTGCAGGCTCCAACAAAACATTACACTGATCTCCACAGACTAAATATCACTCGATGTAAATCAAGACATCCCAAAATGCCAAAAACGCAGCGAAGGGTGGCATTTGCATGCTGAAAGCCTGGAGCCAATGCTGAATGGGCACAAAGCAGTGCTAACCATTCAAGGATACCAGTGCTTTTAGAAATATAGGCAACTGCTGCATCAAACAAGGATAAGGGTTTGAGCACACAGCCTAATCTTCAAAGACCATGCAGAACTAACTGCATAAAAGGGCTTTGTGTTCCAAAATGCATTTATGTCCTACTGAGTATGCAAATGCTTGTCAAGCTCTTTACCTCTTCTCTTACTGATGGCAGTAATTAAGTGTCCTACAGACCATGGTGTGCCATAGGGAACAGCCCACAGGCACACATAACCACAGCACCCAATGTCTCACACGAAGATTATTTGAAGACTTCACGGAAGTACAGCAGAGCAATGCTACAGAGGAGTCTGGGGCATGCAAGACTAAAATGGCACTTTGCAGAACTCAACACTTCTCCAACCTTCCGTGAACTCCACAATGCATACAGAGGTGTACAGGAATATTTACTGCTTTCACAGCACGTGCACAGACTGCTTAATGCTTTGCTATCAGTCATCTTAGAACTAACTCCTGCCACCACCACAACAAGCTTCCATGCCTTAAAAGGGTTTATACACCCTTTTACCTACTCAAAAACCTAATTCAAAGGGAAAAAAAAAGGGCAGGCGGGCAGGGGGGCAAAGGTGAAGAAGTAGGAGAAGAGGGAAGAGAAACCCTCAAATACCTGAAGTCAGCCAGGCAGCTTCTTGCTTAAAAGTTATACTCTAAGTCTGAAAATACACCAGAGCAAACTCACAAAGCTACAAGAGCCTGCAAACAAACCTGAAAGCCAAGCAAGTGACAACAATCGTGTTGCAATGCTACAGTATTTCAGAGATGCAGTTGTTTCCATCAAAGAAATATCCACATTTCCAGGACACAGCACACTGCTTGCTCCAGTACGCTGGAAAATCATTCTTTTTCAAAGAACACACATACACATAGAGGTGCACAGAGTCAAGGACAGCAGTAATACAAACATGCCTATAAACTTTTACCTTGATAATGAAAAATCACAATGATTTCTATTAGAAAAAATGTTTAGATCAAATCTTAGTTTACTGTTTTTCCAAGTGTCCTGAATAAAAAAACAAATATATATATGTATATATAAATAAAAGCCTATCTCCCTTTATCCAAATGATTGCATACACTTACATTGTATATTTATTTTGAAGCTCCTAACACAGAGAAGGTGACCCCTGGTACAGGACTCAGCACCATCGTCTCCATCTCACACAGTTGTGAGCTTTCACACAACCTGTCCGTGGGGTGTGGAGCCCAAGATTAAGCTCCCTGACCCCTAACAGAGTTTTTTAACCTCTGAATTACACTGAGACACATATCTGATGCTAAACTTCAGGTTCTACAGCTGCTCTTGACTGGCAATTGTGAATGGTTACAGTGGGGCTTCTTGAAATTCTTACTTTATTTAATGACATGTGGTTTTAACTTTCTGTTGGCTGGCTTCTCTTCCAGTTCTAAACAATTACCCTTCTTCCATGTCACAACAGCTTAAATAACTGAATGAACAGAGGAAAAGAAAAGCTTATCCACAAACCAAAGCAAGGCCTAAAATACTTTATTCCAAAGGATCCGCTGGGAATGCCAATTCATCAGGAAATTCACCTTCTCCTTTTATTGACTTGATGTTACGGGTTCTGCAGTAATGCCAACTGCTCTCTGACAAATCTAACCGACCAACTATTAAAGGACGCTGCCCCAGGATAAGAGCATACAGAGCAGATGTTCCCTTACACACACACGTTTTGCCGCAGTGCTTGCCACTTTTCAAACCAGCCTCTCCCAACTGAACCCCAAGCCTGTTGTCTGGAAGACTTCAAGATACGAGCTTCCCAGTGCACGGGACGAGACACGCTCACCATGCCCCCCACACGACTGCCAATGCTGCCACTCACAGCACGGGCCATTTGTCTCACACATCAACACCACAACCAACGTGGATTTCAACGAAGCAACCCCTTGCAGTATTAATTGTTGTTTTGCCTGAAATTCAAGTTCGTAAAGTACTATGCTGCTGCTACGGTTATCCTTAAAATGCCAGCAGCCCAGAGCAAAGATCCCATGTCCTGTCCTGCAGCATCAGGCCCCAGCCACACCCGGGACCTCACCGCAAACCTTTCCTTGAGACAACGCCACCCCAGCCAGGACCATCGCGGCAGGGCTTGTCTACACCCGCCGAAAACCCGCTTACGGTCACTTACTACCCCAGGGGCCAGTTACAGCCACCTTTAACTAATGCGAGCCGAAGCAAGGGGGGCACTAAGAACCCCGGCGCAGGGCAGTTCCTCGGCCCGAGCCCCCTCTCCCCGCCCCGCAGGGCTGCCGCTGGCGTTGGCGCCGGTTCCCCTTAGGGCAGGGCAGCGTAGGGCGGTGCCGGGGCCCTTACCCAGATGCAGGGTGAGGTTAACGGCGGCGGGGTGCTGCACGCCGGCCAGCATGGTGCGGCTCTGCCACCAGGTGGCATCGGCGGGGCTGTTGTAGTCGGTGAGGAAGGCGGCGCCGTGCTGCAGGTGGGGCTGGGCGGCGTCGCAGAGGTGGCAGGACTGGGTGACGCCAGTGACGCCGGTCTGCACGCAGTACTCCTCGGCCGGCGTCCCGCACGTGTGTGTGGCCAGCACCGTGGCGTTGAAAGCGGCGTTGACGAACTCGGGCATGCAGCGCTGCGGACGGCCGGTCCGCTCCTCCGTGCACTCGTCCATGGCGCCGCCACACCGCCCGGGCAACCACAGCCACAGCACCGCCAGCCACAGCGCCCGGCGCTCGCCGCCGCCCCCCATGGCGCTCGGCCGGCGGCGGAGGGGCTGGCGGAGCGGCGCGGGCCGGCGCAGGGGCTCGCTCTCTGGCTACCGCCGCTGCGCGCCTGGCCGCGGGCTGCGATGGGATGGGCCCGGCACCGGCGAGGCGAGCCGAGGCGGTGCGCGCGGCCGGGGGCGGGGCTGCGGCGCGGGGCAGGCCGGGAGCGGAGTCCCGCAGGCTGAGCGGGCGGGAACCATCTCAGCCGCCCGGAATGCGTGCGCTTAAAGGGGCGATGCCTGCGGTGGGGCCTCCGTGAAGAGAAATGCCCGTTTCTCGCCGTACGCCTGTCTGCGTTCTGCCGGTGTTCCCCCGGGAGCGGCCATGCCCGGTGAAAGGGCTGCCCGGCAGGAAGTGGGGGCATCTCACTCGCTGCGCTGCTGGCGTTGTGTGCCGCAGGCGGGAATGTCCCCCCACCCCTCCATGCGGCGGGGGCACGGTCACCGCGTCTGCCCTGTGAGAACCCGGAGGGACTGCCCGTTTGTCTCTTTTAAAGACTTTTCATAGAGGGTAAAATAAACCAGGTTTCTCAAGAAATGTGGTAAAATTGATTGTGTTCTGCCAGCAGGACGGTTCTGAGCCTGGCTGGTTTTGTGCTTTCCAGAGGCACAGGCCTAAAAGCGGGTGTGAGGGGACCCATGTGGCCGCCTAAGCTTCTTCAATGAACTTACTGTTATTTTCATATATAAATCCAGATCTCTGTGCTGCTTTGAGGCATAAGCTGTGCCACACGTAGCCAAAGACTGGGTTATGATTTTTAGCTATCAACCTGTGTCTTTTCAGTTTGAGGAACCGTGTAAAGATTGTGTAAAACCCAGGAATCCTATAAAGTCAGAACTGCTTTTACAGGAGAAAGTGCCTCCAGAAGCCTGCTCAGGAAACAGGAAATTACTCGTCAAGATAGAAGTTGATAGGAGAGTCAAGGAAAGGCTTTGTAAGCTCCGCGTTGGTTGTATTTATGAGAAAGGCTGAATGCAGCCTGTGGCCGAAAGAACAGGAAAAAATGCATTCTGCCCTGGGAAAAATATGCACTTTCTTGTTTCAAAGTAAACACACATATCCTATAGAAGCTGACCCTTCACTTCTGGCATTAAGAGCCTGTATCAGACTGTTCACAAGGTCTGCACAGCACATCCTCTCGTAAGCAAGCCTGGAAATTATCGTGCTGCTGGTAATTTGGTGCTGCACGTTGGTGCAGTGATTTATCTTTTTGCCCCCCCAAAAGAGTATTAATCTGGCCATGATGAGATAGCTTCTGTACCAAGAGTCCCCTGGACACTCCCAGCACCAGCAGAAGGGGTGTGGATGCATTACAGAGCCATCACTGCATCACTATTGTTCAGGCTGGAATTACACATCTTCAGTGGAAAGTTTGATTTCCACTGCTTCCCCCTTTTCCTCAGTTTCTGAATACAAGCCAGCTGCTGCAAGAGCAATGCGGAGCTGATGCCATCAATGCAGGAGCTCTGGAAACAGCATGCTGACAGAGCTTCCCTGGCTCAGTAACAGCCTGGCTGATGCCTGCAGTTGAGAATAGACATGGCAGAGCAGGCAATAAAAACAAGAGAGCAGGAAGCCACATGGAGCAGATCTATGCAAGGGGGTGAAGGATTAGGACACACGTGAGAAGCAGACAGTGACTCTGAACAGGGTCAGAGAGCATTGCCACAAATCCCACTCAGTGGAGCAAAGAGATCGTCTGTCCATGTGTGGGAGGTTCCCATGGATAATGAAAAAATATTCAGCTTAATGCAAAATTCTTGGGTTTAGAGATACTCAGTTTTAGTACCTAAAAACAATAATTTGTGTGGGGTTTTTTTAACTAATCATTTTCCAATATTTCAAAGTACAGATGTATGACCATCCTCAACCATTTATGTGAAGTCCTCCCTCTCATTTTCAGATTACTGATTCTCACAAATCCTGATAGAGGTTATCTACTATTTGATATTTGCTGTCAAAATCCACTTATACTCTTTAACCATGGTTTCATTTTTGACATACATACGTACTCAGATTGAGTGATGCAGTTATATTTAATTCAGTAAACCTATACTTATCTAACTAAAAACAGAATTAAACCTCATATTCCTTCTCATATTCCTATAAATACATGGCTTGTGCTTTCCTTTTGATGTCTTACCAGCTGAAATCAAAGCACTGCACTATATTCCCCACAAACCCCTTTCCTTTCCAACACAGAAAAAAAAGCATCCTCAGGTAAAATAACATTGTCTTAAAAGCACAGAACCCAAATAACTTCTCTAACTTTGCAATTATCACATGGTGAATAACAGTAAAAATACCTTAGTCAATAAATTCTTATGACTGTAAACTCCCATGAAGTAGACTGAATCATCTGCGCAGCAGGAGTGACCTGAAAGACAGGAAAGATTGTCTGATAGATAGGTGAGCACAACAACAAAACTTTCAGTTAACCATCTGTGAAATAATAATATTTGTGGATAAGGTCTGTGACTGTGTTTGGCTTAGCACAGGAATAATGAAGCAACAATGAAACAATGACGTGGATGCTGCTTCAAGAACAGGTACAAGTCTTCAAGCACTTACTGCCCCAAACCGATGCTAAGTCTCAAGAAAATTTGCTTTAGTAAAGACATGGTCAGGGAAGAACTTAAATACCTAAAGTTAACTGTAGAAATCAGCACGTTATTACTCCAATTCTTTTTTGAAGTGCTCAGGTCAAAATAAATGAATGCAAACAAGTGTGGAGTAAGAACAAAGAGAAGAAATGCAAACAGAAAAAGCAACATAAAAACCTGAGAGGAAATAGCCTTTATAAAAGCAACACTTACAGGAAATCCTGCCAGCTTTCAGAAGCCCAGGACTCCTAAGGTTGGCAGTCTTGCTTTTTGGATAGATCTTGTAAGTGGAACTGAAAGAGAGCTACTAACCATGAAAGCAAAAGGCCTTTCATGAAATGGTTTATTTAAGTTTTACTGTCTTTGTCGCTCTTTTGCAGATTATCCTAGATAATTCTGTACAGCAACTATAGGTAGGTGAATAGAAAAAGTATCTCTGAAACTGTTCATTAGAGGTAATCTGCCTCTTACAAGTTTCTGCAAGCTCAGGAGAAATAAAAGACATAAGCTGATCATTTTTTCTCTTTTTTGAGTCTGGGAGGTATCCTTATTTTATCTCCTTAATACTGTAACATTGGGAAGAAATATGCAAAATCAACAATAAAACATGAAAAGACTGTGAAGCTTTTTATCTATCTGTTGTGGATTTAAGCACAGCCCATCCTTTTAACCAAAAAACATTTTGGTTAAATGGATGTCTGGTGGTGTATATGAAATGAATTAATAATCTTTGATTCCTGGAAGATAAGGTTTTATCTTTTATCTTTACTCCCTCTTTTTTGTTCTGTGGTGTAGTCGTGTGCTGGATTTAAGCAACCATATCTTGCAGCCTATATTAGGCTGTGGCAGTAACATCGGAAGGACCCAAGCCAGCCCTAACTGTACTTCCTTCCCCTCTCCAAAACCTCCACTCACCTGTCCAACACTGCCATGAACAGCTGCCTTTGGAAAGCCCACTGATGGGGGAATTGGGAAAGGGACACACGTGGATGTACACATTCAGCATCCAGTGGGCTTCTTGGAGTTGAGATGTTTCTCAGCACTTCTCCCCTTCTAGCACTTGCATTCCAAATCAGTACACCAGCAGTGCACTGCACAGATGAAAGTGTGCCAGAGAACTGGATTAAACTTATTTTTGTAAGGTATTACATCTATAGCATAGGGACACTAAATTTACTGAGAATAGTCTCAGGCTCAGTGCCACCTTCATCCTTGCACTACAGGATCCACTGATGGATGCTCTGCCACCAAAAAATTCTAACAATATTTAGGTTTCTGATGCACTGCACTGAAGTTCTCTGTAAGGAGCAGGACTTACTTACCCAGATCCATTTGGATAATATCTGAGTCCTGTTCTTAAATGACTTGCATAGCTAGGCAAATCCTTCACATGCATGAGCTGGGGCTGTTTACATTAACTGTAAGACATTCCCAATAAAACTATCTCCCAAGCCTGATAAAATGCCATCCCAGAAAGTAGTGAGTGTGTTGGGGGTGGTCACGGGTATCTCACAATGAAGGGTGTTGATCTGTGTGACCACAACAGCATTTAATAAGTATCCTTCCTGACCTTACAGCAGAATCCCCAAGATTGTTTTTAACAGAAAGTTGGGTAACTTCTTTTCAACAGTGCTAACAGGGCAGAACTTTTCTTCCAGGTTAGTTCTTAACTCTTCTTTATGGTCACAACATCTTTTTTCATTACGCAGTCTGACAATCAGTCTTGCCATGATCATTTTTTCATCAACAGTAAATTGTGTTGCTCTTTTATCATTTGTAAACCCCTGAGTTTCTTTGTACAAGATGGTTATTAAAAGCAATTTTAATTGCAGTGTCTCCCTCATTTTAAGAGCTCACCTTTGTAAGTTTGATATTCTTTAAGCATAGTTTTATGAACTTTCCTTTGCTTTTCAAAACTAAAAAAAAAAAACCCAAAACAAAACAAAAAACCACAGTCTCTAAGAAACTCCATCTTGTTTTAGATTTTTCTTTTTCCTGTAAAACCTGTAATGCTTTCTATGCTGTATGCTTTTTAGCCATTGCTTGAAGACTTGCAAAAAAATTTATGTGTAATTTGGAGATGTAGTGTAGGTAGCATGTATGGTCATACATAAAAGAGGAAACTAATGTTTTCCTTCTGCTCTACAGTTCGATTGCTGTAGGTTGCTAGCCATATTTTAGGCATTTCTAGCCATAACAATACTAACTATTCAGGTTAGATACAGAAAGTAACAGGAAATAAATCAAAAGGGCTTATTAACTAACAAGCTTCACCAAGCAGGGTGGGGTTATTTAAAAAAATGTGGCCAAAACTCTTAGCAGACTTGAATCCGCTTGGATTGGTTCAAGAAGGAAACCCTCATCACCTGAAAATGTATTATTCCAAATCATCCAAGGTCAGATCAACCATCTAGCAGAGGCAATAGTCAACGTCAGACTGGATGGGGCTCT